AACTTTCAATCCTCCTGCCTCAGCCTCCCAGAGTGCTGGAATTACAGGCATGGGCCACCTTACCCACATAAAATTAAAAATTTTGGCCATCCATGGTGGCGCACATCTATTTTCCTAGCCCCCAGGATGCTGAAACAGGAGGATTAAGTAGAGTTCAAGACTAGCCTGGGCTACATAGCAAGACCCTGTCTCAAAAAAAAAAAAATTTACAACTTTTATACATAAAAGGATACTACCAACAGAGAGAAAGGCAACCCCAAGTGGTAGAAAATATTTGCAAATCATATATCTGATAAGGAAGGAATTTCTAGAATATATAAGGAACTCCTCTACCTCTCAAACATTGAATGAGTCATAGAAGAAATCCCAGGGAAATTAGCAAACACTTCGAGAACCCCAAAAATAAAGTAAAATGAGTGCACCACAGAGGAGTGCTTATGAGACCCAGAAACAGCCCTGCTAAGGGGGAAATGTATAGCTGCAAGTGCATTAGAGAAAAAAGAACAGTTAAAATCAACAGCTCTTCAACTAATGGAAATAGACACACTAAACCCAAAACTAACACAAGATCAAGACTAAAACAGAAACTAGCAAGATAACAGACAGTCAACAAAACAAAATAAAAAATGTGGTTCTCTGACCAAAAAAAGAGGCTGAATTTAGGAAAATCAGAAATGAACTCCAGGGGTGATGATACACAGCTGTAATCCCAGCACTTGAGAGGCTGAGACAGGAGGATCGCTGAGATCAAGGTTGACCTCAGCTACATAGGGAGACCTTTCTCAAAAATTAATACATAAAAAAAAGGAAAGTGAAAAAGCCAGGTGTGGTGGGGCACAGCTGTAATCTCAGCACTTGGGAGGCTAAGGCAGGAGGATCCCTGCAAGCTCAAGGCCAGCCTTTGGACTACACAGTGAGACCCTGTGTCAAAACCAAACCAAACCAAACCAAACCAAACCAAACCAAACCCTCCCTACAAGGAAAGACCCATGGACCAGACAGCTTCACTGCTGAACTGTACCAAACATTTAAAGTAATAAGAATCCTCAAACTCTTCTAAAACCTTAAGAAAGAGGGAACAGGGTTGAGGATTTAAATGCTCACTGGCGCCGTGCCTGGCTTGCAAGCACAATGTCCTGAGTTTGTTCCCCAGTACAAAAAAGAAAAAAAGAAAAAGGGAACATTTCCTCCCTTATTCTATTTCTGCCCTGATACTGGAGCCAAAGACACTATAAGAAAACTAAAGACCTATATCCTATATGAACAGTGATGCAAACATCCTAAAAAAAAAAAAAGTAGTAGCAAACCAAACTGAGCAGCATATTGAAAGGATTATCCACTACTCCCAAGGGGGATTTAGTCCTGGAATGCAAAGATGGTTCAAAGTTCAAAACTCAATTTATGATACATATTACAAGAAAGAAGGGGAAAGACACGATCATCTCAAGTGACCTGGAAAAAGCCTTTAGAAAATGTAACAGCCTTTCGTGATAAAAACATTCAGCAAACTAGAAATAGAAAGAAACGATTTCAACATAATTGAGCCTGTGTATGAGAAGCTACCGCCTGCATCATACTCGATGGTGATGGACTGAAGGCATGAGAAGCCCCAGCCAGAGAATTCATGCTCAAAAGGCACTGAAACTGGAAAAGAAGTGCAATTATCTCTGTTCATAGATGCTAAGATCTTCTGTGCAGAAAACCCTAAAAAAAACACACACATACAAACTTTTAGAACTAATACCAGAATTCTCAAAATAGCAAAATACACAATCTACACAAGAAAGTCAGTGGCAGAACTCTTGTCCCTGGGCTCCAGCTCCAGTGCTACAAAAGACAAATAGAGTCCGTGTGCTGCTCTACACCAGCCACGGATAGTTGGGAAAGGGAGCTAAGTAAACAATTTCATTTACACTAGTGAAACAAAAGAGAAGGGAAGAAAGAAAAAGTTAGTCAAGGAGGTGAAAGACTTGCATGGCTAAAAAACTAGAAAACATTGCTAAAAGATATTAATGGAGACCAAAATAAATGTCAAGACATCCTATGTTCTTGAGTTGGAAGTTTTCATTTTGTTAAGATGCCAGTTGCACCTCCATTGATTTACAGAATCAACTCAGTTGCTCGCAAAACTCAAAGGACCCAGAATCACCAGACTAAACTTGAAATAGAAGAATAAGATTGGAGAGCTCAGTATTGCTGATTTCAAAATTTACTACAAAGCAGCCAGATGTGATGGCACACGCCTGTAATCCTGGCCTTCTGGGAGGCTGAGGCAGGAGGATTGCAGTTGAAGACTAGCCTGAGGACTTAGCGACTTAGAGACCCTGTCTCAAAAGTTTAAAAAGGACTGGGGATGGAGCTTAGAACAAAGGCATTGGGTTCGATCCCCAGTAATAGACACACACACAAGAAAAGAAAAATAGAACGAAAGAAAGGAATACTCAGAGCCTAATGTCATCAGCACCAATGGTGCTCACCTGAAGTGGACAAGAACAGAGTCTGGAATTAACACCTGCAGATTATTTTTGATAAGGGCACCAGGATCACTCACTGGGGAGGGGACAGTCTTTTCAATCAGTGGTGCTGGGGAAGCTGGATATTCACATGAAAAAGAATGAGGTTGCCAGTGATTTAGCTCAGTGGTTCCTCCACCTGCCTTGTAAGTGCAAGGTCCCAAGTTTGATCCCCGGTACCAAAAAAGAAAACAACAAAGAAAAAGAATGACGTTGTGCCCTTGATCAAGAATACCCCAAAGCTGGGCATGGTGGTGCACACCTGTGATCCCAGCACTCTCAGGTGGCTG